GATAATCATTCTGAGTATATGTGTTTTGGTTTATTGCTGGTGTAGTTTTTTTTTTTTGGGTATCCGTTTGCTGCAGTGTTTTCGGTGTCGTGGTTTAGGGGGTCTGTTTGTGGTGTTGTTTTGTGTGTGTGTTTCTTGTTGTCTGTGTTTTGGTGTTGTTTTTCTGTTTGTTGTGGTTGGTGTCTGTGTTGTGGTGTTGTTTGTTTGTTGTTTTGCGTTGCTTTGGTTTGTTTTGTTTTTTGTTTTGGTTTTTTTGTTGATTTCAGTATTATAGTGAGTTGTTATATGCTATTGTTTATTAAAGATTCTCCTGTCATGGGTATGTTCTTCTGATACTGATCATTAAATGCTATTGTGAGTTGTTACTGATATTATAGATTACTTGTTTTGAGTTGGTCAATGGTCATAAGTCACAGTGGTTGGCGCTAGTGATCATGCTAGGTTTCGTGTATATTGTTATTTTATCGTATGGCTGTGTGTTGTGTATTTGTTCTCCATGTCGCGTAACCGGATGTTGTGACTGCTCTTGCCCCCCTTCCGCGTAGTGTGGGCGCGGCTATGTTGTGCCCGATTGGTCGGAGACGTTGCGAGGCTCGTTGCCGCGCAGAGCGGACAGGTTTCCGGGTCGGCGAAACAGCGAGAACAAGCAAAACTCATCCTGAGCACACACAAACACTCACAGCCGAAGTAAAAACAATAAGTGTGGATTGATATTGAGTAAGAAAAAGGTTTCTAACGCTGTGAGAATGGGTCTGCGGAGAGCATTTCTCCGCCATCCCAACTTGTCTATTACCAGCGTTCAGGGAGCTCTATGCAAGTCAATGGGGACTCCCTGTTAGTTAGCCAAGGGATCCTGGTGTGTGAGGTGCTCCGCGGATTGGTCCATTTGGGTCCTTTGTTGTTGATGTGAGTGTTCACATGTCACAGAACCCAGGAAGAAAACAATGGAAAATGAGAAATGTCCAACGAGGCGTTTTGGAGCAGCGTAGACAGGTCTTTTTTTACTGTGTTAGAGTTTTACTGCCTACAGGGTGTACTTTGAGGGTTTCTGCAGACCGTTTACATGCAGAAAAACCTTCATACCACACAAGGGGACGGGTAATAACCGGAAAAGCATGACATGGGCCCTTTAAAGTTATTTAAAAAGAGCCTATAAAAACATGATCTTTTAATTTGAGTTTAATGAAAAAGACAGAAAAGTTCTAAAAAAAAATATTGCATTTCTTTAACTACCAGGTTCTATATGTGCTGCTCATCCCTCTCTGCAAAAACCACTGGAGTATAGATGAATCCATGAGATGCTGCATCAATAACATGAACACGAGTACCATATAATTGAGCTTTTGGAGTAACCTGAATATGTGCAAGATACATTTTTTGTTGCTCTTTTCTTCCATTACTGGTGATCACACGAAGAGAAAAGCATTAGAGGCATTAGAGTTCAGGCAGCCAGACACCAAAGTGGGTTAGTCATCAGATCCTGAGGTTACTAATACACATGTCTTCCATTACAATCAGAAACATGAATGATATAACTTTTGAGTATACAGGGAGCTGAAATATTAGGTTGCATTTTCAAAGTTCTGACAAGCAGCAGCGCACACAGCTCCAATTCCTAAATATACGGCGAACAGTAGTGGCAAGGATCCAAAAAACTGCTGATACAAATCTTCTAATTTATGGTGGGCAACAACAAACACGTCTCAGCTAGAGGCCATCTTCAGCGATGATAGACCTGCAGAACAGCAAGTTATATACAGAGGTTAGGTTCAGACAACCATCAGGAGGGAAATATAATTGCATAAAAGGACCCATCCGTGAATGAACCGCCCAGACACAGCCTCTCCTAATGAAGGAGGTGTGACTGCGTTAGTCTGAAACAACAGTCACAGGCTGAGGAGTAATATATACAACTGAATGCACAACACTGGACCCACATGGCAAGAGCTTTACCAGATACATACATTATATTATGTAATACGGAAAATAAACCTTTATTACATATGAACTTGAGGGGCAAAAAGTAATACAATTAGTTAAAGCTTGAAACTTTTCAAAATGCACTAATACTAATAATAGAGGGCTCAAAGTACTGTAAATAGATTAATCTTTGAAACTGAATATTTCTCCCCAGGTGAATGCTATTAGTCGCCATTATAACATATTTTTTCAGAGATGTGCATTAACTGGAACACTTGAGCACTTTGTAGACACGGAGCACTCATTAGTCCATTTCAGACAGTTTTAAGCATGGAATAATTGCATTACTGTTATTCCTAAATACATGTCAGACTTAATATCAATGTATTTAGATCATTTTCTGTATTATGTACAAGGTTGATTCAATTCATCCGTATTTTCAAACATTTATCTGCATGGTCTGTCTCTTGTAATATTGTTCCAGTCTGGGACATTCCGTTTTTATTAAGGACACTTCCAGGCGGAAACATGATTTTTATGCCCATAATAAATAATAAAGACTTTATCTGTGAGCGCTGTTAGCTTGTAATAAATTCCAAGTAAACATCATTTGCGAAAAAATAATCAGAACCACGATAAGACTTTCATTAAACCCACAACAGGAATACTGTGCATGTGAACTCAAATGAACTGGTTAGAAAGGACAGAGTGCTCATTTTCAGGTCCATATTTGTATTTTGTATTCTGTGACATGTCTCCATGCGTTAATGTTCAAAAAGCTCTTTTCACCCTCTGTCTGAAACCAGAGCCCAGTCTGCTCTGATTGGTTAGTTGGCCGGCTCTGTTGTGATTGGGCAACCGCTTAGAGATGTCCCGCCCCTTAGCCTATCACGTACAATGTGTTGGAGCACTAGGAAGGGAACTTTGGGATTATAGCCTTTGCCGCATTTACATGCACAAAAACCTATATAACAAACTACAGTTAAACTTAAGTCTTGACCCAACTTGAATGACATTTGAAACATGCAGGGTTAATACTTTTTATTTTCTCCACTGCCATTGATAAACCCTGCTTGAAATACTGAACAACCTTCTATTTATTTGTCTGTTTTTATCTTGTGAAATGTTGCAATCCCTTAAATGTGTGTTTTGCTTGGAATTCAATGTTTAATGCATTATGTTAAAAAACTGCTTTTGTGAATAATTGTGTTATATAATTAAACTTTTCTCGTCTAATACTTTCATCTTCTCACAATCCCCATTCGACACACGTTTCATCCATTCATTTTGTCCCTGGCTCTCATCTCTACATTCAACACTTTTAATAAACAAAAATGTTTCCCCTTCAATTGGGAGGACATTTTAAAATGTAATTGATTTTATTCATTGGCTTTCATCTCACTCACAACATTTGGTAGTGTCTATGGATGAGAAAAAGCTCTTACTAATGCAGGCTGTTAACACATGCAGCTCACAAAGTGATGACTTGTGATGCTATCTCAGTCAGATGCAAAAGCAAACAGCGTGTTCTCTATAATAAGAAATCATCAACCGATGGGTTTGACACAACATCACTGCAGGTGGGAAAATATCGAAGGGGAAAAACAACTCTGCAACACAAATTACTCTGAGCTGCTGAGAGACATTGCATTGATGTTAGATAGAAATGTCCGTATGTCCATAGACAGGCTTCCTGACCTGGAAATAGGAGAACCCAGACATTTGAACTGATGATGTTGTCGGGTATCATTTTTGATTTAGTACACTGACATTTGATCAGCATGTGCTTGTAGAAGTTTTGATTGAAATACCCGATCAAAATCTGTTTGAAGTATGTAAAAATCACATGCACAAATCCAAGGTGTTCCTTACTCCCTGTCTATGGATGACCTCCAGTTGAAATCATGTTAGCATTATATTCACTAGGATAATAAAGGAAAAGACTATGTCCATTTTAATATAATGGAGGATGTTCTGTTCTGTATTTAAACGGAGTCTTGTCTGTAAATCTGCCCTGTTTGTTCTTGTTGTCAGGAACACAATTGTTATGCAGGGTACGCATGAAAGTAAGTGCAGAGACAACCACAGAAAACAGATGTAATCGTGACTGGATTTGTTTTGGGTTTACATTTGACTTATTTAAAAAAAAAAATGGTGTTCATGTATACGTTTGTGTCTTACTTCAGCATGTGGACTCCTTCGGGGGTGGTGGGCTGGTTGAAGCGTCTCATGTAGTCGTGCATCTCCGGAAAGCTCTTCTTCATGTAATCCTCAGCGCTGCTCTCCCTCACCGTCCCAAAACGGAAGCCCATGGACGGATGATGCAGCTGAGGTAATGAAACAGGAAGACATGGACGGACAAAAGGTGAAGATTGTGATAAAAACAGAAAAGGTGAAAGGATATGGAGCTCATATAACCACCCTGAACTCAGGGTTTAGGGATACGGAAAGTGATAATCCTCCACAAATAATCCCACTCATACTCATTAGACCGTCCTTGTGTGAGATTAGCTTGTGTGGTTGTGTAGCTGGGGGTCTGTGTGTGTGTGTGTGTGTGTGTGTGTGTGTGTGTGTGGTTGGGTGGGTGTGTGTGGGTGTGTGCCTGTGTTTGAGAGAGAGAGAGAGTGTGTGTGTGT